ACGCAGTGGGTGCAGAGATAAAGTCATACATGACTCATTACAGACACGCAGTGGGTGCAGAGATAAAGTCATACATGACTACATCCAGACACGCAGTGGGTGCAGAGATAAAGTCATACATGACTACATACAGACACACAGTGGGTGCAGAGATAAAGTCATACATGACTCCATACAGACACGCAGTGGGTGCAGAGATAAAGTCATACATGACTCCAATCAGACACGCAGTGGGTGCAGAGATAATGCCGTGCATGACTCATTACAGACACGCAGTGGGTGCAGAGATAAAGTCATACATGACTCCATACAGACACGCAGTGGGTGCAGAGATAAAGTCATACATGACTCCATACAGACACGCAGTGGGTGCAGAGATAAAGTCATACATGACTCCATACAGACACGCAGTGGGTGAAGAGATAAAGTCATGCATGACTCCATACAGACACGCAGTGGGTGCAGAGATAAAGTCATACATGACTCCATACAAACACGCAGTGGGTGCAGAGATAAAGTCATACATGACTCCATACAGACACCCAGTATGTGCAGATATATAGTAAGCTGACAATGAAAGTAAACCTGATCACAACTTATGCCTTCTTGAGTTAGTGACGATAGGCAACCGAGTAAAGAAAATACTTAAACTGATTAGTAAGGTCTACTAACGTGTTAGTGTCTGAGTGGGCAAGGAAATTAATAACTAATTTCTGTCAGTGAAATGCGTTGAGGCAGTATGTAAAGATTCCCTATTTTGTTCGAAATCCTTTTTCACCTTTTTGTCTTGAAATATATTCAAATCAAAGGATGTTCCCGTGTGTTCAGTGACCCTTTTGGGTAGGGGCTGGCCTTTGACTTGGGTAAAAACTCGCCCTGATCTCCCCACGGGCATCGTGGTGGGGCAGGATGTCGTCTTACATCAGGTGTAACAACCACATAACTACTGTTATCTGAGAGACTGTAATACGTTTGGCTGGAATAGGTATAACCTTCGGTTGCACTTAAAGCCTAATTTGTCATGTCCATCTCTGACAAGATGTGTCCTTTGATCTACCACCGTGCCGACATCGAGACGACAGTGCATGCCGGGACACAACAAGACATCCCGGGGACGTTTGTCTAACCCCACCCAGCCCCAGCCCACATCTACATACACCGCTACACACTCTCACGTTAAGGAATAAATGCCTTGTTGCTGTTCTCTCGTCTAAGGACAACTATTGGCGTTTTAAATCAAATTATGTTTAAAAACTATAGCCATGTAGAAGTGTTCTGTCAGTGCTGGCTACACTGCATTATATAATATTGATAACTTAAGATATTTTCAAGTGAAAATAAAGCACATGATAAACTAAACTGACTTAACTGTTTATATCCGTCTTATGCTTATTTGCGGTGTCTGTTAAACAATCTGATAAATTGAAGCCTAGCAGCTATTTTAACGTGATGAGCAAACGAGTACAAAGGATGAATACCCATACATGCAAACTTCGCTTCATACGATCTGGCATCAGAATTACTCGTAACTGGAATTATTCTATTCAAAAGAACACAATGGATGTTCTCTCAGTGCGCGTGGCAATCGATTCCATTTTAGTTCTTTCGAAAAACCAAAAGGATTCGATGCGCTTTCGACATTCCATTAATGCGAGATATGGCCACAGTGGGGAAGCTTTCTCCTCCTGGATCTGTATTTAATGAGATCAGGGGAAACGGATTACAACCAGGTGAGTGTAAGCCTCCAGTCAAAGCACAACTGTTGTATGGACAGCTCCCTGTCCAGGCAGGTTTGTCCTCATGTAAATTAACCTAACCAAGCTCTCCTACATGGATGTCGAGAGACGCGATTAATTATAGAGTGGCGATGTTTAACCTGTTGCTGCGGACGTAGGAATGTTCAATGGTCGTATACGGGTCGTGTGGAGGCACGGGGACAGCAGCTTGACTCTCACCCACACGTCGCCACACGCTCACTCTAATCACCTCACACTAAGAACTCCACGTAGTCGCCAGCGTAGGGCAAGACCTATTCATGTATAGCTTTAACATAAAACGAGATATTTTCAATGACAAATAAAAACGTATGTTTGATTATGCCATTTTTAATGATACGGAAAGCAATAGATGATATGAGACAATCAGTTAAATAACAATATAATACATAACACATTTCCAGAAACCGTTCAACAATAAATCTGCATTGTACTACGTACTTTAAGGTCAGATATTTCACAGGAACATCTTTTCCCACGAGTCTGTTCATCTAAATAATTCGGTTAATAAGAAATCTGGAGATACAAAGTTCCGATACATGCTTCGCCGAGTAATACTCGCTTATCTGGCATCCATATCACGCCATGGAACAAAACCCCTATTGCTTAGCGAAACCCAAATCGATCAAATTATGTGTAACGTTATCTGTCAAACATGCCTCAGAAAACAGGTCAACAGAAATTGATCACTGTCAAAAGCATGTAAATTTCCATTTTGCCCAACCCCTGCTGCGTCAATACATGCCGGTCCCTGTGCTATTTCACGCATCGATTCCTTCATTTGCTACATGTTTTTCACAAGGTTTTGAAATTCGCACTCGTCAAGGTATTTGTTGTTTGATAGATAACACTTTGTCAGTATCAATCAACTAACTGTCAACAAAATGGTACTTCATCACTTTTCGAACTATCACCCTTATCCCTTACTTATGGATGCGATATTACCACTTGCTGTGATGGAAAATCTATTCTGCAGTGAACCCACAAGTGGACGGCTTCGGGATGCTTTCAGCTGGCGATGGGCGTTTCGCGGGGCCATTTCAATATATTGTCATTAACAGAGTTCAAACATACAATTGAATACCTAGGCGATATGATTTATGATCATTTGTAGCTCAATGTGAGATTGGACAATAAACATACTTTGTTGGATCGCATTTCATATGTTCTTTATAAAATACGGGTCAAATTCTTTGTTTGGCGGTTTGGAAAATAGTATGAAAGTGTATGAAGACAAAATATGATATTATGTCCGCTCGATGTATTGTCATGGTCGCCTATAGAACGCGTGCCTTGTGCATTACGTTGAGCATCTGGTAAGAGTGATATTGGCGTCCTTGTGTATTTTGAATAGGGTCGACTTTACACATTTCGACATTCTTGTGGATGTCCTTTTCGCGGCAAGTAGCGAATTCATGTGATGTTCTCATTACATCCGTCCATGATAAAAACACTGGACAACAGTAGATCCTAGAAAGCCTTCTGTTGTCTGCCTATCCTGTTTTCCTCCTTGTAAAGACTTCGATTGAGACATGGCCAGAGCGACATGATCCTTCTGACCAAAGAGAGAACACTCATACCAGTGAAAAACGACGCCAAGCCTTCAGCAAATTATCTGCGATAAAGTAAAATTAAATCATTAGCCTCCTCCTCCGAACGCCGGTTTAGGGGTAGGCGGATTAACGGGTAATACTAGTAAATCCTCACTCGATAGCGTCTTAGCAACTCGCAATGGCAGCCAGGAAAGGGCAAGGCGGTTGAGGGTATTTTTGAAAACTTAGATACCAAGCCAACGAGAAGCTACCCCAGTGTGAGATATTTACAACTAGGAATTAATCTCCGAGGATCTGGAAGCGATTGGCGCCCGTCAGTGTTGGCTTAGAGAAAAGGGATGAATAGCGAACTATACTGACCTCATACTCTATGGAAGCCACGGCAAGGCCATATGTGACTTGTAAACCTAGCCGAAGATTTAGAGAAGAGCGTAAAGGAATTTGAATTTTAAATTTTGGTTTTAAGTGATTAACAGACGGAAATGAACAATCGATTGATAAGATATATTTGACAAAAATGCAAGAAAGGAGATTTGTAATGATCTGACATTACAACACGTTATGGGATGGGATGTTGATCTAGTGTCACTTGGTGTTTGAAGGAATGTAGAGCCCTGGATACGGGTCTGTTGTGGTACGTGTAGAACCCCAGATCGCTTATGTTATATTAGTGATACTCGACAGTGTTCACGACGAATGTGAAATCTTGTAGCTGTGTAGTAGGAAGTGGGGCAAACTGTATGGGTATGCAACGGAATACAGCGTTAATTCAGTTTTTTACGACGCCACATGCCTATTAGTGCGAACAATGAGATCAAGCAACCCACCCAACCGCGCGCGCACGCACGCACGCACACATGCATACATACATACATATAGATCGCCACAGTAATACAACAGAATGTGTATACATCTTATTATCAGTAGTTAAACTTGCCATTCACCTCGGTGTTATTAATCTCCCGGCATGGTGAAACCACCTGCCAACAGGTAATCCCTGGCTTAACCAAGGCATTGACCAAGATGGTGGACACAGGATAAACCACATAATGGTCACCTTAAGAATACCTAATGGCCTTAACCTGACACGGCCAAGATATGTTCAAGGGCTCAAGTGTTACCTTGCATACAATGTGTATTGTGCTTATCTTGCTGGGTACAAAGGAGTTGATGGGGAGTTTGACATGGATTAGAGCGACAAGATAAAAACTCCACAACTGTGTTGAACTTGCTCACAAACAGTGATGTCATGCAAGATACTCCACAGAATTGCATTTGATAATGCTTTACTGCCTGGTGTTGTGTGTTTGAAGGGTTTGGGGTAATGCCATGAAGGTACATCAACCTGCGAAAATGAGATGACAGGGCAATCGTTGAAAAAATATGTCTTATTGAATGTTTCTAGTTACTGAAAAAAGGAAGCGTATGTTGCTGAAGCAAGTACTCTAACTGGTCATATAGGGTGTGAGAGTGTGTATGTGTTGTGTGTGTGAGTGTGTCTGCGTATGTAAGTGTGAGTCTGTATAAGTATGTGTGTTTGTGTTTGTGTGTGTGTGTGTGTGTGGGGGGGGGGGGGGGGGGGGGGTTAAAGCGTTACATATAGGGTGTACGTGTTTTATATTTTGATGTTCTGTTCTCGGTTGTTATTTTACTTCTAACTTTCTTTGTGCAGATGCCCCTTCCCGTGTGCCAAGCCCCGGGTTCCAGCAGCAGTATGTGGCGGGGTACGAGAAGTGTGTCAAGGAGGTCATGCAGTTCCTGGAGACACACAACAACATCACCCATGACTTCCGCGACAAAATCACTACTCATTGTCAGGACAAGCTACAGGAGAAGGCCCAGACTGCTGAACCAATGGAGGGCATCAAGTGGGAGAAGTCTGACGACGAGAGTGATCACCAATCAGCCAGTGAATCGTCGTCGCCTGATATTGCCAAATCAACGACCCCTGTTAATGTCATTAAACAGGAAGAACGACTTCCGGTCCAGAATACGGCCTACGTGACGCCTTTACTGCAACAGCCCAGCCCCGAGACATCCCCGGTGAAGCAGGCAACTCTCGAGCAGGTGTCCGGCCCAATCAAACTTGTGTGTGGAGGCGACATTCTAATACTTCTGGATTCTGCGTCGACACCAAACATTATGAATCCACCCACCATTCCAAAAATACACTTCGGTCAGCCATCATCAGTCCAACCGCTTCCGCAAGCGTATCAGGCATGTAATGTAAATATGACGAGCGGAAGTGTTGCTCCAGCAACCATTCCGTACCCTGTATATAGACTCTCCAATATTCCAGTTGCAGGAATCCCTTTGGCGAGCGCCATTCCAACCTGCATGCAGCCAATCCAAGTTCACAGTCATACTCAGAACAAACTCCAACTTCCTCTTGGGAACATCATTACTAACGGCCAGCCTGTGGCTGAGAACTGTCACGTGGCTGGTCAGCAGACAGCAGCATCAATGTGGAGACCATGGTGACTCACTAAATACCTTCGTGCGACGATAAGGCAAATACGCCATCAGCAGCTTTAATTTGTGTATAATATTTCTATATATCAATGCAGTGTATGTTAAAGTGGGTTTACAGAAGTTGGTTGTCTGTGGGTGTGTACGTGTATATGTTGAAGAGGGTGAGATGGGCTGTGTAATACAAGTGCATTTAAGACTACTTTGGGATTCAAACATAGACCGTCATGGGTAGGGAATGTTAACCTTGTGGTGTTGTGTTGACGATACCATTACTTGCAACACATGGCTAATGGCATGCCTTCACATCGATATGTCTAAGATTAAAACAACAATATACCATGTTCTATCCCTTAAGGTACCGTGTTTTATCTTTTAAGATAACACACTCTATTTGTTAAGATTTCATGATCTATTCTTTAGGATACTATGTGCTATTTATTTATCTATATAAGATAACATGCTCTGTTCTAAAAGATACCATGTTCTATCCCAACATATACTATGTTCTGTCCTTGTGGAACTATCATTCGCACCCAGGCGCTTCCTACCTACCCCACAAGACATGCATGTGATGACATTCACCTCTGCTATTCCATGAAACGTGGCTGAACGTGTACAGTGTGTTCATAAGCAGATTATGTTTTGTAAATATATTAATAAATATACTATCATGAAAGAATCCATGTCCTATTTTATGTCGGCTAAGTAGGTCAAACTAGTCGGAACCCCTGAACTAGTGGCATCTCCTACTGCTGCATCCGTCTAACTGGGATTGAACTCATGTAGAGTGCTAAAGTATTAATTTTCCACTTAAGCGTCCTTGTTGCACAAGTGATATTTTCCCTATGTATCGATAGATGCAAGATTATTGTTTGCAATATATGCGAGATCGGATTAGATGAACCATGGTCCTTCTATGACGCATATGCTCTAGTACGCTTTTGTAGACACTGATACTCTGTAGTCTTGGACACTGTTGTACACTCTGATACACTCATCACTCTTGGACATTGCTGTACGTTCTGATACTCTCTACACACATGTACACTGTTGTACACTCTGATACACTCTACACACATGTAAACTGTTGTACACTCTGATACTCTCTACACACAGGTACACTGTTGTACACTCTGATACACTCATCACTCTGGAACATTGTTGTACGCTCTGATACGCTCAACACTCACTGTTGTACGTCCTGATACTCTCTACACACAGGCACACTGTTGTACACGCTGATACTCTTTACACACAAGTACACTGTGGTACACTCTGATACACTCATCACTCTGGGACATTGCTGTACGCTCTGATACTCTCAACACTCACTGTTGTACGCCCTGATACTCTCTACACACACGTACACTGTTGTACACTCTGATACACTCATCACACTGGGACATTGCTGTACGCTCTGATACTCTCTACACTCAAGTACACTGTTGTGCACTCTGATACACTCATCACTGTGGCATATTGCTGTACGCTCTGATACTTTTCTACACACAAGTACACTGCTGTACACTCTGATACACTCATCACTGTGGCATATTGCTGTAAGCTCTGATACTCTCTACACTCAAGTACACTGTTGTACACTCTGATACACTCATCACTCTGGAACATTGTTGTACGCTCTGATACGCTCAACACTCACTGTTGTACGTCCTGATACTCTCTACACACAGGCACACTGTTGTACACGCTGATACTCTTTACACACAAGTACACTGTGGTACACTCTGATACACTCATCACTCTGGGACATTGCTGTACGCTCTGATACTCTCAACACTCACTGTTGTACGCCCTGATACTCTCTACACACACGTACACTGTTGTACACTCTGATACACTCATCACACTGGGACATTGCTGTACGCTCTGATACTCTCTACACACAAGTACACTGTTGTGCACTCTGATACACTCATCACTGTGGCATATTGCTGTACGCTCTGATACTTTTCTACACACAAGTACACTGCTGTACACTCTGATACACTCATCACTGTGGCATATTGCTGTAAGCTCTGATACTCTCTACACTCAAGTACACTGTTGTACACTCTGATACACTCATCACTGTGGCATATTGCTGTACGCTCTTATACTTTTCTACACACAAGTACACTGTTGTACACTCTGATACACTCATCACTGTGGCATATTGCTGTAAGCTCTGAAACTCTCTACACTCAAGTACACTGTTGTGCACTCTCATACACTCATCACTGTGGCATATTGCTGTATGCTCTGATACTTTTCTACACACAAGTACACTGTTGTACACTCTGATACACTCATCACTGTGGCATATTGCTGTAAGCTCTGATACTCTCTACACTCAAGTACACTCTTGTACGCTCTGATACTATCTACACACAGGTACACTGTTGTACACTCTGATACACTCATCACTCTGGAACATTGTTGTACGCTCTGATACGCTCAACACTCACTGTTGTACGTCCTGATACTCTCTACACACAGGCACACTGTTGTACACGCTGATACTCTTTACACACAAGTACACTGTGGTACACTCTGATACACTCATCACTCTGGGACATTGCTGTACGCTCTGATACTCTCAACACTCACTGTTGTACGCCCTGATACTCTCTACACACACGTACACTGTTGTACACTCTGATACACTCATCACACTGGGACATTGCTGTACGCTCTGATACTCTCTACACACAAGTACACTGTTGCACACGCTGATACTCTCTACACACAAGTACACTGTTGTACACTCTGATACTCTCTATACACGAGTACACTGCTGTCCGTCCTGATACTCTCAGCACACAAGTACACTGTTTTATTACCCACGTGGTGAGGATGCAGGTGGTAAGATACTAAATCCGTACGTCACACGTGTGTCGTACAAGGTTGACCTTGTTTTATTCGTTTTGATTGGATAACCGTGACCTCTGTCACACCGGGACTACTTTTTTCATTCATAAAAAATCGCGAGACGTCATTCGTTTTGCAAATACAAGGCAGAACTGAAGAAATTAATGAGAAAGAGAGATATTTACAAACACTTTATTAAACCAAACAAGATAGTCACACGCATCAAATTCTGTTTGCCTTCTATATAAGTTATGCATAGAGCTCCTACAGACGTATAATCGAGCTAGATCTATAAATCGATTTACAATGTACGACTGCCGATCGAGCGCGTCCCTTGAGCGTGACGCACCCGACAATTTTCGCAACTTTCAATTTGATTTAACGTAAAAGGATAAGCGTGGTGAAATGAAGTCTGTTTAAACTATCTGGACAGATATCAAGACTTACTTGGGATGATCCGGTTGTGCCATCGGTGTCCCCCTTGAAGCGTATTTTATGGCGCTGTTTCGGGAGGTGTTGTTCATGAATGAACGAACACGACAGCACGACCAGATCACTTAAAGTTCACAGTTCCGATACAAATCATTCGAAAACTCCGTGGAAGTGTGCTTGACTTCTGATTTTGTGGCCCGAAACATCCCAAATGTGAACAGTAACATTCCCTATCTCTAGCGTAAAACGCTGTGAGTGGATCGCGGTTGTCTTTTCTTATTCCGGTGGCGACCTTGCCCTTCGATCTTTCGATACTGTCACTGACATGCAAGCAGATTTGAGTTTGTTGATTTTCACGTCTTCAGTATATAGGGTGGTACAGTTAACATGAATGTCTTTGGCGAACAGTCTGATTTCCCTCTTCCAAAATGGTGGGGCGGTCGGGTAGCCTAGTGGTTAAAGCGTTAGCTCGTCACGCCGAAGACCTGGGTTCGATTCCCGACATGGGTACAATGTGTGAAGCCCATTTCTGGTGTCCCCCGCCGTGATATTGCTGGAATATTGTTAAAAGCGGCGTAAAACCACACTCACTCACTCTTCCAAAATGGTACGGACATGATATAAATTCAGCTGATAGATCATAGATCATTTTGATTGCACAGACGGGACCCCGGCAGTGTGATGCGTGTGACTGTTGGTCCGATATTCAAAGCGCGGCGCTAATGTGACATTTCAAATTTTCTTATCGGTGTCCTGCGTACTAAAAACATGGCGCTTGAATTACCATAAGTTGAAGACTTTCTTACAAAAGGATCTTGAGCGTCGGTGCTGGTTTGTTTGCAAACAGAACAGCAGGCGCATGTTGTTAATGCGTATGCATAAACATGTCAACAATGCCCATAATTGGTCATATATCAATATTCATGCACAACCAGATTTTGCAACCGGTTTCTGTTTGGTCTGTCAACGAACGAAAGTTGTTATGTATTTACACTTAAATATATATTTAACGTAGGTAATAAATAAAATACCACACTCATTCTCGTTAGATACCATTTTTACGAAACTCGTGAACTTTCTATGGTATCTGACATCGCTTTCGCTCGGTCAGACACCATAGAAAGTCCACTCGTTTCGTAAAAATGGTATCTAACGAGAATGAGTGTGGTATTCTCTATGTATGCTCTGATACTCTCTACCCACAAGAACACTGCTGTACGCTCTGATACTTTTCTACACACAAGTACACTGCTGTACACTCTGATACACTCATCACTGTGGCATATTGCTGTAAGCTCTGATACTCTCTACACTCAAGTACACTGTTGTGCACTCTGATACACTCATCACTGTGGCATATTGCTGTACGCTCTGATACTTTTCTACACACAAGTACACTGTTGTACACTCTGATACACTCATCACTGTGGCATATTGCTGTAAGCTCTGATACTCTCTACACTCAAGTACACTGTTGTACACTCTGATACACTCATCACTGTGGCATATTGCTGTACGCTCTTATACTTTTCTACACACAAGTACACTGTTGTACACTCTGATACACTCATCACTGTGGCATATTGCTGTAAGCTCTGATACTCTCTACACTCAAGTACACTGTTGTGCACTCTGATACACTCATCACTGTGGCATATTGCTGTATGCTCTGATACTTTTCTACACACAAGTACACTGTTGTACACTCTGATACACTCATCACTGTGGCATATTGCTGTAAGCTCTGATACTCTCTACACTCAAGTACACTCTTGTACGCTCTGATACTATCTACACACAGGTACACTGTTGTACACTCTGATACACTCATCACTCTGGAACATTGTTGTACGCTCTGATACGCTCAACACTCACTGTTGTACGTCCTGATACTCTCTACACACAGGCACACTGTTGTACACGCTGATACTCTTTACACACAAGTACACTGTGGTACACTCTGATACACTCATCACTCTGGGACATTGCTGTACGCTCTGATACTCTCAACACTCACTGTTGTACGCCCTGATACTCTCTACACACACGTACACTGTTGTACACTCTGATACACTCATCACACTGGGACATTGCTGTACGCTCTGATACTCTCTACACACAAGTACACTGTTGCACACGCTGATACTCTCTACACACAAGTACACTGTTGTACACTCTGATACTCTCTATACACGAGTACACTGCTGTCCGTCCTGATACTCTCAGCACACAAGTACACTGTTTTATTACCCACGTGGTGAGGATGCAGGTGGTAAGATACTAAATCCGTACGTCACACGTGTGTCGTACAAGGTTGACCTTGTTTTATTCGTTTTGATTGGATAACCGTGACCTCTGTCACACCGGGACTACTTTTTT